TGCAGAAAGGATGATGTAGATGGCACTTACCTCGTAGAGATGCTGGAGGTCAGTAGCCTCTTGCGACTTCGGGCCGTCAAGCGATGCGTTCCGGAAGGGATGCTTTCCAGGAGAAATGGAAGGCTGGCAAGAGCCTCGGGAGTCGGTTAGGTTCGGCGAGTTTTGTCTTGGGGAGAGCTGGCGAGAGCTGCCCCCGAAAATGCGCCTTTCACTCGTGACTTGTCGCTAACAAAAGACTCGGACTTCGCATTTTTGGCCCAAAGCTCAAAGCTCGTGCATGCCGCACTCTTGCAGACCCTGATATCTTTCTACTTCACTTTCTCCAGCAGTCCGCGATTCCTGCTTCTTTCTAGCGTCGATATCTCTCCTCTGGCGTCCATTGAAATCAACGGACCCCGCGCAGGAAGACCCGTCTTAGTGTTGATCGAGCCAGAAGTGCGAACAAGAGGTCAGCGACCGCAATGGCCACTACAACGAGGACGACCCAACATGCTCTGAGAAGCCTTCGTGCTGCTTCGTCAACCCGCCCGTATGGCTCCTTCATCCTCCGGACGTACGCCTCTGCCGCTGAGCCCGACCTCAAGGCCACGCTACAGTCTGTGATTCCCGAGAAGAGAGAATTGCTCAAGCAAGTCAAGAGCCATGCCGACAAGAAGATTGGAGACATCTCCATCGGCCAAGTCATTGGCGGCATGAGAACAATGAAGTCCATGGTCTGGGAGGGCAGTGTGCTGGACGCCAACGAAGGAATCCGTTTCCACGGCCGAACCATCGCCGACTGTCAAAAAGAGCTTCCCAAGGGCACCTCTGGGACTGAAATGTTGCCTGAGGCGATGTTCTGGCTCCTTTTGACCGGCCAAATCCCATCTACCTCTCAAGTCCGAGCCCTCTCGCGCCAATTAGCCCAGAAGTCGGATCTCCCACCCCATGTCATCTCCATGCTACGCTCCTTCGACAAGAACGTCCACCCTATGACCCAGCTGTCCTGTGCCGTTGCCGCGCTAAATACAGAGTCCGCGTTCGCCAAGAAATATGCTGAGGGCTTGAACAAGGCAGACTACTGGGAGCCTACCTTTGACGACAGCATCAGCCTTCTTGCTAAGCTACCTCGTGTCGCTGCCGCCATCTTTGACAAGTCTGCCCTCGACATGCCTTTGGACATGGATCAAGACTGGGCCTACAATTTCGCCAAGCTCCTTGGGAAGCCAGGGAAGGAAAATGAAGGGTTCCAGGATCTGCTTCGTCTCTACCTTGCCCTTCACGGAGATCATGAGGGTGGTAATGTCTCGGCCCACGCAACTCACCTGGTCGGCTCCGCCCTTTCTGACCCATTCTTGTCGTACTCTGCTGGCTTGTTAGGTTTGGCTGGGCCTTTGCATGGCCTTGCTGCCCAGGAGGTGCTTCGATGGATCCTGAAGATGCAATCTCATATTGGTGAGAGTTTCTCTGACCAGGATGTCAAAGATTACCTCTGGTCTACTCTTCGCTCTGGTCAGGTGGTCCCCGGTTATGGTCACGGTGTGCTCCGCAAGCCTGATCCACGGTTCAAGGCCTTGATCGACTTCGGCGATGCCCGTGAGGATATTGCAAAGAATCCAGTATACCGACTGGTCAAGAAGAACAGTGAGATTGCACCAGGTGTGCTGACTGAACACGGCAAGACCAAGAACCCTCACCCCAATGTCGACAGTGCTTCAGGTGTCCTCTTCTACCACTATGGCTTCAAGGATCCCCTGTACTACACTGTTACTTTTGGAGTGAGCAGAGGCCTAGGCCCGTTGGCGCAACTGATCTGGGATCGTGCTCTGGGCATGCCGATAGAAAGACCCAAGAGTATCAACCTTGAAGGCCTCTTGAAGTTGGTGTAACTTTGTCTGTCTAGCAGGAATTGTTGTACATAAAACTTGCCTGGTCTACGTGGATGGGACGGCGTCCTTTTTCTATGCTATTCAGACAGCAGGGTACTTCTCAAAATGATTTTGGTATAATATCTTGAGTACCTCGTGTTGCCTTGCGATGTTTATTGCAACCTGTGACGGAGCGGAATGAATTTGACCCGCCCTGCAAGTATTGTCCACTTGAGCCTCATGGAGAGGTTATTCGAATGTTGTTTTGCCTCACCGCATGACCTTCATCAACCAGATTAGTCGGACTCCAACGCCGACATCAAACAGTTCCTTGGGCTCCAGGTCACCATGTGGAACCTGTAAACAAGAGCCAGGGCGCCTGTGAATAAGATCTAGCTTCTACCATTGCAGCCCAGGACTTTCCGAGCTCCCCTATTGACTCTGAAGACCGATCATTGACATCCGTTGTATCCCTGCTGCTGCCACATTTTGACGCTCTTAACTACCATCTGACCGCCGTCCTTCCACGTCGGGTACCACACGTCACGCGCATTCCAGAAATCCTTCTTCGCGCTCTCACCCGCGTCGACCCAAGGCTTACCGTTTTTGCCGTCTTCAAACCACCCATTCGTACCGCCTACTGCGACATTCAGAATGAGATAAAAGTCTTGGTCAAATGGTGTTGATTCATGGTTGTACTTCGACCATGGATCCACAATACGAGTACCGTTTTCGTCAGCCTGGGGAAAGTGGCCCCGGCCCCAGAGTGGCTTGTCGAAGTTTGTATAGAGCACCTGAAGCAGACGAGTGTCGATGTACGTGAAGATATACTTCTCCGACCATTCGAGTCCGAATGTGTGAAACGTCTTTGCGAATGTCGTGTGCAATGCGTTCCTCTTGACATTAGTTCGCCACCAGGCATCATTGGCAGCGTCTGGGCCCCAATGCAGAGCGCTTGAAACAATATTATTGCCCCCTTGTGGATAGGTATGGTTGTTGCCACGAGACTCAACGATATCAATCTCCCCAGATCGGGGCCACACGCCGTATTTGGAATCGACAGGGAGCAACCAGATTGCCGGCCATAACCAGTCACCTTTAGGTAGCTTGGCTTCGACCTCGACTCGACCATATTTGATCACCGCCCCTTTCTTCGTGTTGATGCGCCCTGACTTGACAGGGTTGACAATAGTTCCATTGGTTGTATTTGTTCCTGTTATGCAGTTGCTCCAGACTGATGATGTGCATACACCGTCAGCCTGCAGATTGATCACGTTGTTGGTCTCGATAAGTCTAGAATCTTGAAGGGTCGGCTTGATATGGAGCATTCCTTCTTGAATAAAAACGTTTTCCATGGTGATAGTGGTCTCCTCGAACTGGCCATTACCGAAGCCCCCGACCTCGGCTTCTTTAGTCCAGATTTTGGTGTTGAAGCCATTTGAGAAATCCTCCAAATACACTGGACAGTATTTGTGATTGACCACGGTTCGAAGGCCATCCCAGACGAGAAAACCGGCAAGCCCCAAACCAATCGCAAGTCCAATTAGTGGAATGATTGTCACCCACTTCTCTCGAGGATCTTTGACCTTTGTCCACGGCCGTTCAACCTCTCCTTTCTTGACTCTGCGAGAGCGGAAGTACTTCTGGTTAAGGATGGGCTCAGGGAGTGCTGTCGATGATGCTACTCTTGACGGATCTCCGGAAGCATAAGGAGTGAGAAAGGGATCTACAGGCTTTTCCTGCTGGTATCCGGCACTCGCTATCGCCGAGTCCGGCGAGCCAGCTGGAGGCGTTCCGTCTCGACTCATCGTGGTGTCCGATCGGAAATATCTTGGATGGGAGAAATTTGTCACGATAAAGACGGCCACTTGGGAATGCAATGGTGTTGTTCAAAGTTCTCGACGTGAGAGAGTAAGAGGACTGCCGGTGAAGGCTTCACACATTCTCTGATAGTAGTTGGGCAACAGAAAGGCAAAAATGTGCCGAAAGTCGCCATGGATCGAGTCAGGCCATGAAAACAAATTTGGCACGAACCTCGAAAACTCGCAATGCTGATGAAGGCAAGGTTCCACGTCGGCTTAGAAAATTGAACCTGTCTCGGTCCGTTTGCTTATATGTCTCACGCGTTCATCAACCGAGATCGAGAGACTGGTCGGCCGTGTCGTTTGTTGCCAGTCTCCAAATATCTTGATGCAGATAGAGAGATTTCCGCAACACAGCCATTTCAGCGGGGCAGGAAGGAGATTGTCGTCGTGGGCGATGGAAGGAAATCACGATGCATGTGCCTGATTGTGAAGTCAGCGGCAGAAATAGTGACCTTGTGTAAGACGGTGAGTCTCTGTAATTACCCAAACTGGGTCCTTGGCCTGTCGAATATGACACAACGTCCTGCATGATGCATATAGGGCCTAGCCCGAATATGTCCAGTGGGGTAGTTTTTGTTTGCAGCCCTTGTGCGTGGTTTGAGACGAGGCTGACCTAAACCAGAGTAGGAATAGTCTATTGGGTCTATGTTTGAGAAGACCTTGGGGAAATGACCTGTCAACTTCCCTTGCATAACATCCCTTCTGCTCTGTTGTCCCTGTTCCAGATACACCCAGCACCATTACGTGCTGTATCAAACTAGTCTGGTGCAGCTCACAACCCTTTTCCTTTCTTGACTTTGGGCCTCCCTCCTGGGCTAGAAAGACATCCTATCGGTACCGCACTTTGACTCTAGTAGGGGCTTCTGAGCCGCAGACGCCGAGTTCTCATCCGCACACCATGGTCCAAATGCGAAAATTCCCAGGTAATCTCAGGATGGGCAAGGGTATCGTGAATCGAAACCCAAAGTTGTGAAAAGCTTGCAGGGTAGTCATCTCAGTTTTACGATGCCACTCTCCTTAAGCTACCTGCGGCCACATCTCCGCCGCACTACGTGGATGTCTCTGATTTTTGCTAGTCCACCTTCGAGCCCATATATTGCCCATCATAATGTTTCAAGGTAAGCAAGTGTATTGTTTGTCTTCAAAGCCGTCCGTGGGTTTCTCTTTCTCACTTTGCTAGCAAAGTCCATCTTTTCTCTCTTCCCCTTCACTTGCTCCATTGCTCCAAGAGCAAAGGTTTCCTCGATTCACGCATTTCCATAGTAGCGTGGGCCTCGTGCTTGATGCCATGAATCTAAATCAGAAAGCAACTCAGTGGACCGACTCGCCGGGCACATCCTCCCCCGAAGATATTTCTGCCTCGACATCACCTCCGACAGTTGGCTCATCCTTTCACAGCTCCGTTCATTTTAATGACTCCAACTCGCAAATTGACGTCGCATCTATTGGCGAGAGGTCAATACGAAGCATCCGAAGCGCCTTCGAGGGCATCAAACACGAGGTTATGGTGAACCATCTCTACCAGCAACAGTGTTCACGCCTTTGGGTCAGCGACGGCAGCGGAGAAGTAGAAGGCGTGATGCTACGAAAATCTCGTGGCATCTACTTGTCGTGTCCTCCCGAGCTTCGAGATTCACTATTTGGACAAGCTTGTGCGGACCTCAATGTGCAGGTAAGCCATATTATCAAAACCCCAAGAATGAACTCATTTGAAGATAGGTTGCCATGACGGTGAATTCAAGAGTCATCAAAACCTTCTTGGCCTGGGCTCCTGATGCGACAGACGTTCCTCTCATGAATGGCCTTCGAGTCCAGATTCTACCTTCAATTGCTCACCTTCCTCGTGCACGAAAATATCAATTTGCTGCCTTTGTTGCTGCCGACTCCTTGTTGGTGGTATGGGACGATGATCCTTGGAATGTAATGAAGAGGGCAGCTTCCATCGAGTCCGAGTTAATGGAGCTTGTCTGGCATACCGGAGAGGCCGGCGATGATGAAGAAGTCACCAACGAAAAGAATGGAGTTTGTGCGGCCTCTGTTGGTTCAGAGTTTGGAGAGCTACCACCTCAGGACCGTCCTACCCACTTGATGAATACTACCCTTGTCGGGTTTACACTAATCATCGTTGTCACATTGCTTGGCTTGGCATGCCGGTCTTTGGCAACTGAAATTGCTGTGGATGGTTCATACATTCGTCTTGCTTTTCTCTCCTTGGTCCCTATACAGATCTTTTTCACGTTGGTGAGCCATCTATCCTTGGTCCTTTGGTCTTACTAATGATTCTTCAGTTCTTCGCACAGGTTATTGTTGGCTGTGTTGCACAATGCTTTGGACCTATACAACAAATGCAAGTCAACTCAAAATACTTCTCAGCAAAATGCTCTCCTCGCTTACATACACTTACGCTGCCACATGTCACTATTCAATGCCCTGTCTACAAGGAAGGACTTGCCTCCGTGATTGCACCGACAGTCAAATCTATCAAGCGAGCTATCTCAACGTACGAGTTGCAGGGCGGCACTGCAAATATGTTCGTCAACGACGATGGCCTCCAGATCATTGATGAAGAGCAACGCAAAGCACGAATTGAGTTCTACCAGGACCATAATATCGGCTGGACTGCTCGCCCGAAGCATGGTAGCGAAGGATTCATTCGCAAGGGCAAGTTCAAAAAGGCCTCTAATATGAACTATGGGTTGATGTTGTCATGCAAAGTCGAGGAGAAACTCCAAAGATACCACCGCAACTTCGTCTGGACCCAAAATGACGAATCCGAAGCCTATGACCAATGCTTGCGAGAGGTTCTGGAGGAGACCCCACGTGCTTGGGCTGATGGCAACATCCGGGTAGGAGACTATATTTTGTTGATCGACAGCGATACTAGAGTGCCAGCTGACTGCCTGCTCGATGCCGTGAGCGAGATGGAACAGTCTCCGAATGTCGGAATCATGCAATTTGCATCGGGCGTGATGCAAGTTGTGCATACATTTTTTGAAAACGGCATTACCTTCTTCACCAATCTCATCTACACGGCTATCGAATATACTGTCGCCAACGGCGACGTCGCACCATTCGTGGGTCACAATGCCATCCTCCGATGGAGTGCCATCCAGCAGGTTTCTTACATCGACGAAGACGGCTATGAGAAATTCTGGTCTGAATCGCATGTTAGCGAAGATTTTGACATGTCATTACGACTTCAATGCGACGGATATATCATCAGACTTGCGTCCTGGGCCCATGGAGGATTCAAAGAAGGCGTCAGTCTAACCGTCTATGATGAACTTGCTCGATGGGAAAAGTACGCTTATGGATGCAACGAACTTCTTTTTCATCCAATGAGGAAGTGGATCTATAAAGGGCCTTTTACAGAACTTTTCCGACAATTCTTCTTCTCAAACATTCGATTCACTTCCAAGATCACCATCATTAGCTATATCGGCACATACTATGCCATCGGTGCTGCCTGGATGATGACACTAGCCAACTACTTCGCCATTGGCTGGTTCAACGGCTACCTAGACAAATACTACATCGACAGTTGGAAAGTGTGGTTTAGTATTGTCATTGTCTTCAACGGTCTAGGGAATATTGCTCTTGCAGTCATGCGGTACCGCATTGGTCAGAAATCATTTATCCCGGCTTTGGTGGAGAACTTCAAGTGGATCGTCATGCTCTCGATCTTCCTGGGCGGGCTCTCCCTCCATGTTTCCCAGGCGCTACTAGCGCACATGTTCGAAATCGATATGACCTGGGGCGCTACCTCCAAAGAAGCCGAGTTTTCCAACTTCTTCATCGAGGTTCCCAAAGTGGTACGGAAGTTTAAATTCAGCATCGCCTTTGCATTCGTCGGTATTGTCGGCATGACCGTTCTCGCCACAAATCCAGGAGGCTATATTCCATATGACTGGATAATTGTGGACTTCATCGCCATTCTGCCAATGAGCACAGTTACTGCAAGCCATTTGCTGTTACCAATTGTGTTGAATCCTGCGCTGATGACATTCTCCTGGTGATATGAGAGATCCATGGTCCCAGGATTGAGCCACCACTCTCTCGTCAACGATCATGGTCGAAGGAGGCTTTTGTTGGGATTGGTGAACATGTTCGACGATCGGGCACACAAAAAGGATAGAACAACTATATCTGCTTGGGGTGTTGACACTATCATATTATCATCATGATCTTTTTTTCTGCGACGATGCTTTGGGTACTCTTCGGCGCACAGTATCTGTTCGTTAATCGTCCCCTCATTTCGACATAGTCGCGGATCAATCATAAATTGCAACATTCAGACAATCCCTCCCAAAATGAGACACAGCCCTTGTGCAGCTCCCGTAGACTTCTCACATTCATGCAAAAGACGAAAAGAAGGGGTACCGGAACCCATGGTTGAGAGTAGAAGCGGAAGACACGAACCGGATGGTTTCTTGTCAGCCCGGGCGCATTGTGTATGTATTCCCCTTCATTCAGTTGCGGAATTGGGGGAGCAAATCATTCTATCCACCTCTCACGACACCTTGAGCACTGCCCTGCCTGCGAGCTTACCAGCAACCATGAGGTCGATATACTTGTCCAGGTCCTCCAGAGTTCCCTTGGTCAGGATGGGCTGAAAAGAGACAAAAGTTAGCAATTATGGACCCGTCGTTCTTGTGAAGAAGCTTCTGGTTTGCTTACATGTACCAAACCCCGAGCTGTGAAGTCAAGGGCTTCTTCAACATCCTTCAATGTGCCAACAACACTGCCCACAACATTCAATTTCTTCAAGCACATCATGAGAGGAGGTGCGCCTGCGATGATTGTTGGATCCTTGGGCAGGCCAACAGCAACTACAGTACCACCTGGACGAAGCAATCCAGGTGCAGATGCGTAGGCTTCCTTTGTAGCTGCTGTCACAATGACTCCGTGAGCTCCATACTTGGTGATCCGCATGACTTCGGCGGCTATATCCTGGGTCTTGGTGAAGTCAATAAACTCCTCAGCGCCCAGCCGTTTGCAAAGGTCGCGCTTTTCATCTCCACCGTCAATGGCGATGATCCTCATGCCCTAGATGTCTTGGTGAGCAAAGATGATCACAGTTGCATCCATATGCATCCAGATGTGCTAGATCATACCATTGCTTTGGCATACTGCACTGCGAAGTGACCAAGACCGCCACCAGCTCCCGGAAGCACCTAGATCAGCTAGTGAGTAAGTTTCGAAGACGCCTCAGCCGATCAACACCTACAATCCACTGCCCGGGCTTCACAGCACTTCGTTTGCAAGCCGTATATGCTGTAACCCCTCCGCACATGATAGGTCCGGCCTCCTCGTCGCTAACACCTTCTGGAATGCGAGTGGTGTATCTTCCGTCGCTCAGAGCGTATTCTTGGAATGTCCCAGCCTGGCTGAAGCCCGAATTCTTCTGGTTTGGGCAATGGAGCTCATCGACACCGTTCGTACAGAATTCACACTCGCCACAAGTACCCCAGACCCATTTGATACCGGCACGATCTCCAACCTTCCACTTATGGTGCATGTTGTCTCCAACCGCAACAACGACGCCAGCACCCTCGTGGCCGGCAATGCCTTTTGTGGCTGGTAGCATGGATAGCCCAAACGAAGCCCACTCATCCTTGATTAAAGACTTGTCCGAAGCACAAAGACCGGTCCTGCTTGATTGTCAGACATTGAAGTTACCTTGCAGGAAAAATACATGCCAGTTGATCTTGACCAGAATTTCCCCGGGTCCCGGAGTCGGCACGTCGACCTGTTGGACGGGAGCCTTGGCAGCAGATCCCTCGCCGACTTTGACCGCAGCCTTTTGTTGTTTGGGGATCGATACTGCAGTCATGGTGATCGATGTTGAAGTGGAATGATTCAGTACAGTGACAAGGTTGTAAATAAAACGAAGCAAAGGTTGGTCTCCTGTCAAGTAAGAATGACGCACCGAGAAAGCAGCAAGGCCAGTAACGGAGCAGACGAGACGAAGTTTTATAGCGTCAGGCCAACCTTTGTTACATGGGTACGATACAAAAAATATCCTTTGGTCCTCGGGACGCGCCCCTGCATATCGAGTCGATGGGATAGAGTCGCGCCCCGCAGATACCGCAGATGTGAAGGGTCCTTATTCGGTCGAAGGCTGTCTAAAGGCGGGGTACCAGGTCAGAAGACGTGGAGAACTTGAGCAAGGAGGATGCCAGAAACACTGGACCAAAGCATCGTCGATAGGTATAGCACTTGTACTTCCCTTGGCCGAGCAAGTTGATTGGATTCCCCGTCATTGGCATCCTCTGATCGCTTGCCGGCAGCATGAGCCGAACTGAAATCTGTGAGCTGGCGCCAGACACAAAGTCCATGACGGGAAGAGGAACGCGCTTCGGGACCCGAAAGCGGCTTGAGATTCATGGCACTAGACATTGATGGAGGAAAAAAATACGGTCAGTTGGCGATATCGCCTTTAGAGAGATGGAGGAGGGTGATCTGTGCACCAAGTAGAGTCAAGTAGACAGGGTGTGAGAGGAGCACCGAGGCTGGGGAGGGTAGAGGAGGGCAAGAGGAGGGGCAAGGAGACGAGGACCGGTATCGAGTAGGGAAAGTAGGCCGCGAGATACGATAATTACGCCGACTCTACATACCCCGTCGGAATGGACATGGGTCTTCCTCACTGCGCAATCCGCAATCCGCAATCAAAAACTCCTCCTTCTCCTCATCTTCCTCCTGTCGGTTGGACGGGTGAACGGAGGACATTTCAAAGTGTACCGGTCTGCCCTCCTAAAATCTTGCTTCCTGCCTCGCTGTGCGCCTTCAGCAGAACCCAAAGAGAGCTTCCCAAGCCATCCTGTCACCAACGATGGTGCTCGCTGTATGCATCTCGAGACCTCTGTTGTCCTGAAACCTCGCGATTAGCTGACACCCTTGCCCTCAGGCTATTGGCCAGATCTGTTCGAATGCATCTATGTCCCATAATCTTGCGCAATGCCAGAAGCTTGTGCAGAAGGCTGTGGCGGCCGGAGCGAAGGTGGGTGGGTTGGTCGTATTCTTTCTCAGGGTCTCCGGCTCTCCATCTTGACGAGGCCATTGACCTGTTCCTCACCAGCGAAACCATTCTTCTAGGCCCTCTTCCTCCCCGAGGCCTCTGACTACATCGCCGCCTCCGCTGCAGAATCGGTTGAGCTCTGTCAAGATGTCTCCAAGAGTCACTTCGTTCGCGGTCTTCAACAAGCTGCCAGAGCTCATTCCTTGCCCATCAATGTCGGGATCCACGAGCCAACAAATCCACCCTCCAAGAGAATCCGTAACACTCTGATCTGGATCGATCAAGAAGGGGATATTGTACACAGATACCAGAAACTGCACCTATTTGACCTTGATCTTCGTCCAAACGGGTCAAGGTTGAAGGAGAGTGACTCAACTGAGCCCGGCCATGAGATCATTCCACCATATTCCACATCACTGGGCGAGATCGGCAGCCTGATCTGCTTTGACCTGCGATTTCCCGAGCCTGCACTTAGATTGCGTAGGCAGGGAGCTGATGTATTGCTCTATCCGTCTGCGTTCACCGTTCCAACCGGAAAACTCCACTGGGAGATCCTGCTGAGGTGCCGAGCTGTTGAGACCCAATGCTGGGTCATAGCTTCAGCGCAATGTGGCAGGCACAACGGGAAGCGCGTGAGTTATGGTGATACCATTGTAATTTCACCCAATGGTCAGATTGCCGGGCGGCTGGACCATGTTGATGATATAGAGAAGGAGGAGGAACAAGCACGAGAGCCGGACATCCTCACGGTCGACATCGATCTCGGTTCGCTTCGAGACGTCAGGCGAAGTATTCCTTTGCTTAGAAGAACTGACGTTTACCCAGAGATATAGCAAGGTCGAAAGCGATGCATGCACAGTTAAAAGACCCTTACCACGGCGTATCGAACTAACGCGCACATCTTTCCGAGGTTCAATATGCTCGTTCATGGCAGGATTAATGGGATTTCCGAGGACACAGAACATTTGAGTCTACGTCTTCTAAATATTCGGCCGTCCAGCAGGGGGACAGGGTACTCTGGGTGCAAAACAGCCTAATGTAACAGGCCTCTTTCCAGTATGTTGGCGTCTTGCCTCTGGATTCAGGCAGTGGCTTAGACATAGAAGGACAGGTCCGCTATTGAAGGAAATGCCAATGGTCACTCTCCGTTCGCTTTGCATTTCCCACAAATCGGACGCTCTGAAACCTGGCGTTTTGCACTTTTCCTTTTCACTTGTTCAACAGCCTGCTACGATTTTAGCAGACGTTGAAATCTCTCTTCTGAGTATACGAAGCCTTCACCTCACAAACTATATCTCTGCATAGGTATTGTGCGAGCCTCAAGCACATATCCTACAGGCTAGGGCCGGAGTTAGTACTTCGGAGTACGTTGTACGTCAGGTGTCCCTCAGAAACTTCGTACCCAGTACAAAGATCTCAACCGCACTTGCTAATCCCCGCGCTGCTTGATGGCATTCAACAAAGGCCGTCAACACGACCGATGACGACTTCGTCTTTCTCGGGAAAAGAAAACGGAGAGTCTTGCTCTGTACGAGTATTCTGCCGGATTGCCACATGACGTATAGTACCAGCCCTGGAGACAACGAAGGTGTGCCGACATCGCGGTCCGACTACCCGGCAAGAGACGATCGACCTGTTCTGCCTGGGCGCTTTAGCAGGGGAGCCGAGATGACGAGCAAATGACAGTCCCCACTGAAATGAACATATCGCTTTACGAAGAGTGCGCTGAACAACGATGAACTGGCCGCTGCTCGGCTTGGACATATTCATTTAGTGGCAAGTCAAGGAGCCGCTACTGTGAATAACTTTGACCCTCTGCTAGCAATGAAGGTAGCCTCTATCTTCATCACGAAAAATATCTCACTTCGAAACTGAGGTGGAGGCTTTGTCAAACTGTCCTACCCTTGTTTATGCTAGGAACCTAGAATCTCAAGAGTCTCTCAACCCTGCGGAGAAAGCTGGAGGGCGAGCTAGCCTTCTGAATAAGAGTGCATTGAC